TTTTTTTTTTTTTTGTGGGGTTGTTGGGGGGGGGGGGGGGGGGGGGGGGAGTGTTCTACCTGGGCAGGGGAACGTTCAGGAAAAACAAAGCCTAGCCTAATGGGTACGACTTCTTCGATGCCCTGCAGTGTTAGCCTGGTTCCTTAACATCAACCGCAAATCTATCTATTCAAACTGTTATTGTTATGCACTGTGGAAGGCTGGAAGCGTATCTTCTCTCGTTGTCCTCGTTGTCTGTTACCTATGCGGAAGCTTTGCTTTATTTTGTGGTAGGTGTTAGATCAAGAAATACTGAAATAGTAGAGTACCATTGTTGTGTGCGTGCTTGGGGCCGTGGTCTTTGTTGGCAAAACTGCCATTGTTGTTGTGCGTGCTCGGGGCCGTGGTCATGCTATTGTTGCCATTGTGGTTTGCCTCGGTCGACAAAGTCGTTTGGGTGCAACTTGTACGTTAATGGTGGATGCAAAATCAACCAAGTCCGTATGTCCTCCTTGTGTTTCTTGTCATGCTGTCCTTGTTGTTGCGGTTGTTGTCATGGCCATACGCACACTAGAAAAAACCGCTATTGTAACAAATCGTAAATCCGGGTTGTCCCAGGTCCTACCGTGCACGGCCCTGGATCCTCACTCCACGCTGTCCACGGTAAAATGTCATTCATATGGGTCGTCATGTCCTACTAAGCGAATGGCCTCTGTCAGGTTGGACGAGAACGCAGATTGGCTGGGCCGATGTAACAAATCTATGATCCAGGTTGTTGGGCCCTACCCAACGGATGGCCTGGATTGTCGCATGATTTTACAATCTCAATCCATTGGGCCAGTACTCCAGGCCCAATGGCATAGTTTACGCACGAGTTGGGGCGTGGGTCCTACTGTGTTCGGTCATTTTGGCAGGAAGGTCCAACATCCTCCGCTGGCTGATGCCATCCAGCTCTTATTTCAATCTGCTGCTGCGCACGGCCTGCTTGACAACTGTGGTCTGCTGCTGTATGCTGCCAGCAGTTACATGGAGTCCACTGCTGCACTGTTGGTCGCTTGTATTCGCCGGCA